CACTCTAATCCCCCTGTATTTTAAAGCCATAGTGGGAGGTGTATCATCTCTCTGTCCGGAGCATCGCGCAATCTGGAATATACCGTCATGCTTTTAGGAATTTCTGATTATGAAAATTAGTGACGTTGCAATTGCAAAACACCGACACCACCACAAGTACTGTAGTAGGAAAACAAATAATCATGCACTTTGCACACATATTTGCTCTTTGGCTGTAAGTATATATTTCAGTATTATTTCCTCGTGTATGGGGTGCACTTGGTTTTGTTCCCACGCACAAAAGCACTCGGTAAGAAACTCACAAATGTGTCAAGCCGAACAAACCCTCCTGATAAAAAAAAAATATGTGAGGCTTGTCCCCCGACTCGACTGTTGATTTTTCGTCCATGACCAACTAAACTTAATTGTGCAAAATCCTATCAGAATTTTGAAGCTAAGCTGTGGGACTACTTAAAACTATCAAACTAAAAGCTAACAAACTTTTTTTTTTAATCGGGCAAGGCCCTCTGAGCTATGCAGCTCTCTTTCAGAAGTTGTCTGGCCACAAATGATCCTTACGGCGGTACCCCGGGGTATCAAATAATACAAAATGGCCGAGGCAATTAAATATTTTATTTCTGGGACACTATTTTTTCCCAGGGGTGTAACTTCACTCCGCGACGACTGGGGGGTACCAATCAATCCGAAATCGGTGCCACACTCCGCGATGTCGAAACGCAGCGAGGACGATTGTGCCGAAACCCTGAACGCTCGCACGCAGCGTAGTGGTGCATCGTGAGTACAGCTCGTCGAGATGAGTCGTTTTCCGCTTCGCCGACCATCGAAAGACTAATAATTACTGCATCACGGACATGATGCGAGAGCCGGGGTACTGTGGTACCCCGGGGTACCGCCGTAAGGTTCAAATTATAGCTCGACGAAGTGGCTTGTGGAAATGTATAGCAGTCAAATACTCTAAATGCGTGTTTTATAAATGTGGAGGGAAAAACCTGAGGACCAGGATAAAAATCAAAGGGAGAACATGCAAACTCCAAATACACAGCAGCAGCAGGCGTCAGGGTCTGAATCGAACCCACGACCTCCTGTACACCGGGCGAGGTAGTTAACATCTCCTAGCCACCGTGATGATGATGAGAGAGGGAGACACGCAAACTCCAAATATACAGCAGCAGCAGGTGTCAGGGTCTGAATCGAACCCACGACCTCCTGTACACCGGGCGAGGTAGTTAACATCGCCTAGCCACAGTGATGCCCCTTGATGGGCAGCAGAGGCTAGTGGCAGTAAAATCAATGGCTCTACGTTCATTCTATGCTCCCTGCTTTCACAAAAGAACCGCTATGACCCGCCTGAACATCACTCTAATAGAGCAGCATGCTCGCACTTTCAACTTGCGCATTCAAAAACGGGTTTGTGTGACATCTGCTTGACAAATGCAGCACTCTGGATAATTACTGCAGCATCCGGGGGGGGGGGGGGGCCGTGCCGTTCTGCGGCTTGTGTGGCCGTGGTCGTGTACGATTTATTTTGGCCATGGTGATGAAGGTGGAGAGGCACCTGGTCTCGCTTTGCAAGGGTGTGCTCGTCTGTGTCGGAGATGGGGAAACGGAACACCGCTCGGCACCTGGATTTTGAGTCTTGCAACTGGGTGGCTCGGGCGGGCTTTGACGCTCGAGTCGTAGACATTCAACCGCACTGCAACCTGTGCATCCAGCTTCTCGCCGTGGTGCCTCCTTCGGACCATGCTATAACCTTTGGTTTGACCAAATAATGAATACACTCGGTTCTATAATGCGATAGTTGCGTACCTGTAAGAACGCTGCGGTACTGGGAAAAAAAATCGCGCTATCATAAACGGTATAAAATGTGGGGGCAAAGCACGGTCTGTGATGATTAGCACGGAGAATGCGGGCTGAACAAAGACCGAGGTTCGTGGGTAGCATCTAGAAGCATCCCTCAAAGGCAGCCATACAAACTCGTTAGTTCTACTCGCGCGTCCTACGTAGTGTCCGTTCACTCGTTTGCGTTCATATCCCAGTTGCATCCGCGTTGCTAAACAAACGTGCTTCCATCATACATTCAATCGCGTTATGAAAACGCGCGGTGGTTATTGGGGCACAGACTATTGTATTTGAAACAAATCTGAGGTATAGGAGGAGCAGGGAAATTGCCCCTGGGGTGGGGGGGGGTGTACAGACAGGGTAAGGGTGCACATGGGTTAGGAAGGACGGAAGCAAGCAACAAGCAGCGGTGTGTGCGTTTCATGTACAGCCAGGGTAGGGTGCACATGGGGTTGGGAAGGACGGAAGCAAAGCAACAGCAGCGGTGTGTGCGTTTCAAAATATGTTCGTCTTTTTCCCCTATTGCGTCCCGATTTGTGCACATGCATCTCTCAGCAGTTCAACTCTTCTTGCTAGAGATTTGATGGTGGAAGCGGATATGTGTTTTGTGTGTGTGTGCGCGTGTGTGCGCACGCGTGTACTGTGTTCAGTTGCAAATACCTGAATGAGTCCTGGGCGGCCCTCCCAAGGTAAAATCCCGGCATGAAACGAGTACCTGTTGTTGTGGTGTGCACGCGTCACAGCGCAGGGGAGGCAAAGGCAGCTGAGCTTGGTTTATGGCTAAAACCAATCGCTCGTTTGCCACGCAGGTCTTATCCATAATGAAGGGTTTTTTTGGGGGGTTGGATCGCGCAAATATGAATAGCGGTCGTTAAACCCGCCACCGCCCCGACAGCCAATAGTAAGGTTTGACACGTAATGAAAAAAAAATCCAATTTCGTTAACGGTTCAGCACAGACCGGTGTGAAGAGTAAACCCACAACATTTGCAATTCGATTACCGTGAAGTTAATTACAAACCGGCCTCATCAGGTGACATCTGGAATTGTGGAGAAATCCTCCCTGTTTCCGTCTGGAATAGAGGGCTAAATGTGATGTCGTCACTGTTACCCCAATCACGTGCGAAGACCAGAGAGGGGGGGTTAATGTAGTCGTATAAAATAAAATGGATATCTATAATTAGTTGGATTATGTGGGTCTTTAATATGTGTGTGATAACAGCACTTGCCGCAACAGTCCTGTCATTTGTCTATATGGGTTGTTTTGTTGCGGTGTGTCTGTTTTGTTACGTGGTTTTGTATTGTACCTGTGTGTATGTATACTATGTTGTTGTGTTTACGTTCGTGCGTGGTTTTTTCATTTTTTTAAAGACTGTGGAGTGGTAGTGCAGCGTTGGGCGCGTTGCGCTACGAACTTGGCGACCCGAGTTCGATTCCCGCTCACCGGCCACCAACACCAGTGACCATTGTCTGAACCGGTCCTG